CTAAACATTTATGTTATAATCTGTAGTCATTCTAGAATGAAACATAATTTATATAAATTTCCTAGTTTTTTTGTTTTTTATCAAGGTTACAAAGTTGGTCAAATCGAACCAACCCATACAGAGATGCAGTAGTGAAAATAACCGATAAAGTATAAAAAATATTTTCTATCAAAAAATTTGATAATTATCTGAAGGTCATTAAGATTTCGCATGTGAAATTTGAAAATGTTCTAATGCATACAAATATTTTTAATCTCAAATGCAAAATTACTTTGAATGTTAGATAGTCAATATTTTGAAAGAAAAAACCTGGTATCTTGTGTGTGAAAGCCTTGTAATGTTTACCAATAACCTGAAAAATTTTGTAAAGGTATGCAAACAATATCCAAAATCATAGTATAATTACTCTCGTGGATACTTTTGTGTTTACGAGCTGGGTAGATTTCACCCAGCCCGTTATGAAAAGGTTAAAATAGATAGTTTATAACCTACTCCATGCAATCATATTTCAACAATGGCTATAGTTGAGCTTCACATAGCAGTTATTCAAACCACATACTGTAATATCATAAAAGGAGGGCAACAAAGGGCTGTAGTAATAAAAATACTAACATACATACTAACAAAATCATGTGAGAAATGAATGATTATATGATTATAAACACTCATTCAAATAACAGGATTGTGAATCACTATATATGGAATATATTATAGTCATGCACACAAAAATCAATATAATTTCCTTACCTGCCACACCAATTACAAAGTAATTCCCAAAAGTCTCCCGAATGTAACGAACAAGATCACTAGCATAACTGAACTCCTTAGATGGTGGCACCCAGTCCTCATTAATAGGAGGGTCTAGAACAAATTAAAATTAAAGATTTCCTTTACATCTGTGTTTTGTTTCTCTCCTAATTTTATTTTACATACTATATTTGGAAAACACATTTTGACAAAATCTTACACATCTTATGTTACTATTTACTTTAAAAATATTAATTATAATTTAGTGACAGTCAATCAAATTTTTGACTTACCACCTCTTAAAGCTAATATATTCTTGATTCCCAAATCTCGAGCTTTTCGCAGATAGACATCTATCTCTTCTTTTGTACTGTTGCAGCAAGTCATGTGTAACATTGTATCCAAGCCACAGTAATTAAGTGCTGCACTAGCTATGGTAATGCTGGAGGTTTCCGATTCATTGCATTGGTTACTAGCAGGATGCCAAGTTATATCACAGAACAAAGGAGCTCCACGATGCATTCTGTCAAATCTACAAAACATAAAATCTTACTGTCAACCTTACAGGTTTTAGTGAATTAGTACTGTGAAATACTAGATTCATTTAATCCTTTTAATTGGCTTACAAAACATTTATTTGTTAAAGTTTTCTATTTATTGAATACCAACATTATCCAAAGTAATGATACTCTGTCCAACTTCCACTTATTCTCTTGTGAAAACTGACAGTTAACTTGATATTTACACTAATTATCGTCTTTCTTATCTTACTGTTGAATCACCACAGGTGAAGAAGATAGGTCTACCCATTGAATGCACTAGGTTTTATCATTTTTTTAAATATGACTTAACATTTCTAATCTTATGTGAATTTTAAAATATTAAACATGAATATGTTTAATCATTTCAGGAAGTTATACTAAAATCTGAAAAACAATAACTGGAGTATATTTAAAAATCAATGTGACATGAAAAATTAAAACTGGGTTACTCTTGTATTAATTAATTAACTTTTGTCAATAGATATTTTTTGTAAGCATTTGTTTTAATATATGTTTAAGAATTGAAAAACAAGTATATATTAAAAAATGGCTAGACAGAGCATAGGCTTTCTGCACTAGGAAAACAACTATCAAATAAATATTGTTAAAAAATATGTTCAGTCAGATTACTAGAAACTTTATTTCAATATCTGTTTAGCATGTTTAGCTAAATAGTTGGTACTAAAAGGAAGTAACAAATAATTATTTAAACATTTGTCACACACACATAATATGCAGATAATGTAGTTAGTGATATTCTGATGATTGTTGTTATACAGAGAACTACTGGAATGGAGAGGTGTCACTGATATCCCTTGACTGTTTTCTTCTCACAGTGGAAAAACTTAACAAAAAAAGCATGAAACTTAAAACAAGTTCAATAAACAGTTTATAGTTTTGGCTTAATAAAAAAATTAATATAATTTGATTTGGTTTATCAATCACTTTTCATATCATAAGATTTCTAAAATGTTTTTAAAAAAAAACATTAAAACACTTCTTTTCATCTTAAGAGTTTTCATTTTTCTCTATTTTTGACCATAAAGTTCTATTTAATATAAATATAGTCAATTTCAACTTGATAGATAATAACATATTTATTTTGATATTTTATTTTGACAATTGCATTATCTGTAACACTTATGTCTATAAAAAAAATACCTCATGAACTGATAACGATATATCAGTAATGTTTACAAATGGTTTATATAGTGTGGGTTGAGATCAATTTATATCATATAAATACAGTTTCTTATCAATAAATTACAAGTTATTTCATTTATGTGCATTGATTGAATATGATAAACTTAAAAATAATATTTATATTCAATAAAAGAGTATTTGAGCAATTGAAATATACTGTCTTCACCTACCATATTTACTACACTTAACTAAGTTTATCCAATTTATTGTAATACAGTAGAATAAAATTTCCATAGCTTTTAACACAAAAACATCATCTTAAGAAACTACTAAAAAATACACAGATCTGTAGCTTGTTCCTAAGTCTTCTAAATATTCCATTACATTCCACTGTTTATCCCTGCAGGAGCAAGTTCATGCCACTATCCCACGAATCCACAAATTACTTCTCATGCCACTTCATTCATTTTACATTGACTTAAATAGTTTATAATCTGCTCTGTCTAATAGTATTTAAACATTGCCTGTAACTATCTTTAAAGCTAATATTTATTAGTTGTTATTTATATCACATGCTATGACATCAAAAAAGGGGTGAGAACAAGAGGCTGTACTGGTAAAATCAATGAAAAAAAAAAAGGAAATTTATAGGTGAAATATCTTTAAACTACACAGAAATGCAAGTTAGAACATTTTTCTCATCAAATTTTCTTTGCAAATTACACTAACTAATATTGTTACGACAATTCTAAAGTATTTTTACTTGGAAAATGTTGTAATTAGTTAGAATTATAATTTTAATTACTTGACATAACACAAACTACAACTAGATTGCCATGAAAACCAAGTATTCGTATGAATTTGTATAATCCAATACTTCTATTATTTGATATCTATGTCAAAAACACTTGCTTTGAGAGCTATGAATTCATTAATATAAATTATAATAGTCACAACCATAGTAATTAAAGATTACAAAAAACTTCCAAATAAAACAGTTGCAGAAAATTGTTAAATTTTACTTCCTGCATATCCACATAAAACTCAGTAATGGCTCTTCTTATTTGTACTTGAAAAATTGTAGCAGAAATTAATCTAATAAACAGAAACAGTCTTTTACCTTGCCAACAAATTAACAGCTCCATTCTTAGTCCTTGGAGGGAAGAATTCTAGAGAAAAAAACTTATCCCCTGATTCAATTCGATGATTAATACGTTCAATAAGTGATGTGTAAGCTCCAAATGAAACAGGAGATTGACATCTGGATACTAAAGGAGAGGATCCCTCACTGCTACAAGCACTATCTCCTGGTGTGTAGGAGAGGTCACTATCATTATCATTGTGAACCATATTTTATATAGAATGGAAGAACAATTTAGATGACAGTCATTAGCATCTGAAATTAGATGAATAAAAAACAATGAATGAAACCATTTATCATCATGCTAGTTCTTGTTCTTAAGTTGTAACTAAAGTAGACTTGTCATATATTTTATAAAAAATAAGTAATACAATTGAATTGACTCATGTTTACACACGTAAACAAATTTATATACACTGAGTGGTCACAAGTAAATAGACACCTAATTTTTTGTCATTTAACTGATTTATGTTAACTAATTTGTGTTCACAGAGCACTACGTAAATGAAAATGGTACGAACACTGATTATCTTGTACTACAACATGCCGAGAACTCAAGGTTCTCTCAAATTGTCAGATTTTGTTAGAGGAAGGATAGCTGGTCAAGCAGATGGTGGAATAAGTCAGCAGCAAATTTCGCAGAATTTGGGAATCCCGCTTTTGGCAGTCAACAGAATCATCGTGCAGTTCAAGAAACATGGCAAGGAAACAACTGAGCAGTGTCTGGGTCGTCCTGGTCTATTGGAAAGGAGAAAAAGGGCTGTCAAGAGGAGCATCGAAATGGATCCCAGATTAAGGACTGCAGAAGTGGCCAAAGTTGGTGGGATGAGCCCGAAATCTGTTCAACGAATTCTCCACAGATTGGAGCTAGACAGAAGCCCTTATTAAGACCTGCCAACATAGTGAGACGAAAGAAGTGGGCAAGTGATATGATGACCAAGCCTCTGGACTTTTGGAAGACCATATTGTTCTCAGACGAATCAAGATCCGCTCAATTTTCGAACAGTGGAAGGATATGGTTCTGGAGAATGCCTCACTATGAGTTTTGGCTCAACATATTGCAACCAACTGTGAAGCATGGTGGTTTCAGCGTGATGGTTTGGGGAGCTGTTTGGGTTGGTGGGAGATCGAGCTTAGTGGAGTGCGTTGGCAACATAAATTTTGCGAAATATGTCGAAATATTGGAGGAAGGACTCTTGCCACTTTATTCCTCGGGTTTCGTGAACATGAACACAACGTTGTTTCAGGAAGATGGAGCACCGTGTCACACTGCTAGAAACACCGAAAAGTGGCAGGAAGAAAATGGTATCTAGAAGTTGCCCTGGCCAAGCCAATTTCCTGACA